TCTAATCTCATTTCGATCGCTGATCTCTGATTATTACTTTGCATACAATTCCTTTCGCTGCCAATGGTATTAAACCATTTTTTTTAAAAATGTATATGTGCTTGAAGTGCAATTAGATTCAATCAATAAAAACGGTCCACTTAAACATTTCTGGTGTGTGTTTGTGTCGCTCTGTAAGTTTTCCTTCAATTTAATTAGCGGATGATGTTATAAATTATATCTTATGCACGGATATTATGCCACTACAAATAGTTTACATTGTGTGCATGTGTAATGAGTGCACAATGTCACATATTAAGTATAAGTTGTTTTATTTTCGCAAATCACCGAAAAAATCAGCCAACAACGTTTCAAAAACCGCACACCGCTTTCCCATAATAAACCATGCCGTTGTCGTTCATGCTTAACCTTTAACACGTATTGTGTTTACCAATTGTGAAAAATCGACGTGAACGAATCAACCACAAACACCGTGACACTTATTAATATTGCTGGTTCGCCGGTCTTTTTGCGAGTGTGTAACACAATCAGATTGTTGAAATAGCCATCAACGTCATAATTTCGTTAAATTGCTAATTTTTTTTTTTGCACGAACTAAAAAGAAACCGAAAAAGAAAATGAAAACAAATAACCGGCAAAATATATTGCAATTTATATTTCGAATTTTTTTCGCCTTTCATTCCATTCGATTTCGTTCACACTCGTTGATGCATTTACGTCTATCGTACTGTCGTAAATGTTCATGCAAAGTAATTCTTGACTTGGTGTGTGTGTGTGTGCGTTTTTTTTCTTTTGCTTCTCTTTTTTTGTCGTAAATAGATGTTTGCGCGATCACATCGACTTGTCATGATTATTGTATGCTTTTGAGCCTGGCGCCATTCTCCAATAGAGTATAAAGTAAGCAACGAAAAAAAAAACCACATCGAGAAAAAAATGTGAACTCTGTGTATGCACAAGTATTTTTGCAGGTATTTACTGTTGGCATACAGTATTTAGAGATATATTCAACAGCGGCGCGCATACAAGATACGTACGAGTCAACGGGAAAAAAATGATTTTGTTTGGTGTACGTTCTTTTTTTCGTGTTGTTGTAATTTCGCGTTTTTTTTGTGTTTCATTTATTTGCCACTATTTATAAGTAGCATCTGGATCAGGTGGCGCCGTTCAAACTATATATATTTATATAGTTATAGTGTAATAATGTTAACTGCACGGTCAAATGATTCGTTGTCGTCGTCGCCGTTGTTGTCGAATATAACAAGTCATGTATCGGCGCGCGGCTCATTGAAAATTACAATTGATTTGCATTGGAAAGTAATGGTGATAATGGATGAAAATACATATATGTATACAAATGCATTTAACAAAAAAAGAAAAAGTCGTCTTTATACGTTTTTTTTATTATTCTTCTTCAATTAGATAATTTTCGATACAACATTTGTGGCGCATCACATCATTGATGGCTTTGGAGCCGGCTAAAAGTAGAACGGAAACTTAAAAGAGCAAAGGCGACATTTAGCTCGCAACAGTAATAATAACAAAAGACATGCATGTATGGAAATGTCACCAATTATCAATGCTTCCTCGGTTTGACTCCCCAATAATGGGAATTACAAAAACGCGTCGCGAGCGAAAACAACAAAAAAAAAAAGATAAGATACTGACAAAAGTCAACGTTAGCTATGTATATATTTATATATGGCAACTTATGATTCTGTCCCGCTTCTACTGGCGCCATCTCAATTATTCGAGGCTTAAATGCGTTCGCATTTTTTTCTATATAAACGCTGAAGCACCGACCGACCGATCAAATACACAACCATGCCAAGACGGTTCATGTGTGTGTGTGTCTGTTTGTGAGTGCTTTGAGTGATGTTTTTTTTCTGTTAAAACTCATCCGTTCTACAGCTAATAGACGGTCGTTTCTGCTGTTGCTCCGCGCTATTACTGCTATGTACACATTTCACAAATACCAACGATCGAACAGAGAGCAAAAACAGCGAACACATTGTGTGTGTGCGCCCGCTTCTTTTTTTCTTCTTCTTTTTGTTATTGTCGGAATTTTGACCGTATAAATAAATTTGTATGTAACCATGTGTAAAGTATTTCACGGGCGCCATGTACCTTTTTCAGTGTTTTCACATTTTTCTGATCATTTTCGCATCAAACGATCACTAACAATTTACGAATAATTATTTTCGAATAACAAACAAAAACAATAAAGTCATGATTGAACTGTTTTTTTCTTTCTGCAATTGATGCAATCGCCGCAAGAAAACTGGGTGGGATCTCAATTTAATTGTTGATGCACGAAACGAAAAGCCCAAATTATACATTTGAATCGATCGGAAATCGGTTTTTACGATGACGTCAATCGATCGCATCTCAACAACAAACATTCAAATTGATTTGTATCGATTCTTTTCATTTAAAATCCCTTTCGCAAAATTACTATGTTTTTTGTACTCAATTCTTTAACATTTTGAGTCATTTTTGGATTGAATATCGTCATTTTCAGGTAAAGTTTGTTAAGCTTAAATAATTCAAGTGTATTTTTTGATGATGAATTTATTTAAGCGGAAAAGTCAAGCACAACGTGTGTCACAAAGTGATGAACAACAAAAAAAAGAAGAACAAATGTTTAATCAAATAAAAGTGAATATAATTTATTGGCCATCTTATGGGATCATGCTTTCGCGCGAAAAATCGAATCGTAAATCATTTTAAACTTTCGGCGAAGATTTTATTTTGTATTTTATTGGCGATCCATTTAATTGGACTTTTTAGATTAAATGTGATTTCTTGCTGTAGGTTTTTTCAAAGTGTTTGACATTAAAATGATTCAAAACTTTCCTAATCTACAATAAAAAAAATTATGAAAGGTCTTTAAACGATACACGATCAACCGAAGACGCACAAGAAGAAAACATGGGCATGTAATGTCGATAAATTTAATATTTATACACAAACATAGTTAAGAATCTTTTAATATGCGTTTTTGTGTGTGTATTCGTATGCTAGTGCGAACGCTGTTAACTGTCGCCTTAGTAAATGATCTTGGTGACAATTTTCTTGCAGTCAAAATGTTTCAAATGCGCGGAACTGGTTACGATCACATTTAAAATGTCTGTTGACTAAATTGAGGCGGCTGCTTTTTGTCAGAAAATTTAAGGCTATATCGGATTCAATTTGAAACGTTTAAAACACTTTGAAACGGCGAAGAGAGAGAAATAGAGAGAATGTGTGTTTCAAGTGGATTAATGTTTTTAGTATTTAAAAGAACGTATTTTAAAAGCATCAATTTGTTGGATTTGTTGATTTGAGCTGTGGATTACATTAAACACATTGAGATCAGTTCCAAAATTATTGAGAGAAACGCCAATTCAAACTGAATGAGATTGTCCAGATGATATTAGTAATTTTTCATTTTCAAGCCTCACCAAGTATTCAATGAAAATGACAAGAGAGAGAGAGAGAGAGAAAAAAAAATGTTGAATGATGGCCAATGAAACTGCTATAATATCGGCGACAAAGCATTTTTGTGTATGCATCGGAAATTTATCAAAAACCACAATCAATGCAGAATTTAACACCCTAATTATGAACATTTTCATAATTTTTCGTTTCTTTTTACTTTTCGCAAACTTCTGTATTTTAATTTTGTTTGCGTTGGCAATTGGCCAGAATACATTTTGAGCTGAGTGAGTCGAATTGGATCAAAAAAGTATTGGGACAAACGCACATACGACGTTTATATACGTATTCGCATCGACAAACACACGTAAAACCATGTGGTTGAGCGAAATGAAACATACGCTTTGCGCACAGCAAGACAAGGAACAAATGCGCGCTTCATACTTCAACAGAAAAAAAAGAGGTGTGAATCACTATAGCATGTTACTGCAAATTTGAAATTTATTTTAATAGTTATGTGAAGCGAATACGTCGTCATTATTATGGCATTATTAGCGCTGATAACGATCGTCACACACATTCAATACTCTTTTTTCCCTTCTTCTTTCATTTCGAAAGCAGCACAAATATTTCAATATTCTCGCAATTTCACCACGAACATATTTCGAAAATGAAGTAGAAACAAAAAGACAAATAATATATTTGCCAGATGAAAAACGAAAGCCCACAATAAAAGCGATGCGTATATGTGTGTGTGGAGGATGAGAGAAAGTGCGGATGAATCGTGATCGGCAATATTCAGAAAAGTATGAGCAATGATTTAATTATAAATAAAATTCTTCGTACGTAATCAATGATCTTCATTTGAATGTTTTACGTGCTGATGATGTTTCAATTTGAATATAAAGAGAGAAGAAAAAAAAAACTGTTCGTTTTATGCTTGATGTGAGAGAGAATTTTATGTGAATTTTTTTTCTTCAAAAAAAAACCCGTTATGTTTTGGCACGACGGGAACTATTCATGAAAAAAAATGCAATAAAAAAGAAGGAAAAAAACACATTCGCAAATAAAAACGCTTCTGGCGATCTGGCGAGCAAAAAAGTTCGCGACATGTTAAAAATGTATGTTCCATAAAAGAGAATGCATGGCACTCAATGAACGAATATATTCCGTGTATGCGTTTTTTTTCTCTTCGATTTTTTTTTCGTTCGTCCGAAATTGAGTGTATGTGCTTTTGCTTTGAAAATGCACCTCAAATTGACCAAATGACCTGACCGACTTGCACGGCAACGCTGAATATTACATCATTAAAAATCGATTTGTTCTACGACAGTTCGGGGGTAAATAAAATCATTTTGTGGCAATCAGTTTTATTTGTTGTCTTTCGATAACATCAAATTATTTCGTAATTGCATCGACCCAACGAATAGAGTAATTAAATAATATTCAACCAACAGAAATGCGTTCTCTGTTCATTTTTCCCCTCGATTTGCAAAAAAACACATGAAATGACGCATGGCTTGACGATCTTTCAAATGGTTTCCATACAACTTAATGCCAATAAAATGTATAAAGTATATTCTTACCTTCACCATCGGTACTTAGTGACCCTGGAAAAATACTAGGATCACGTACACGTTCTTCGCTTGGTGCTCGATCTGAAATGAGATTAAAAAAAAAAATTAAACAATTTAGAAAATTCACATCGCATTAATAAAAAAAATAATCTTTTTTTTTGCTATCTCGCAATTCGCGAACAAAATATTAGTCATATTACAAAGAAGCAAAACATATCTCATATACCAAATCATAGTTCTCAGAAGATGTTTAGTAAAAGGTTCATATTATTTTAGAAATTCACAAGAATCTGATGAAACACCTCCAACGAGAAGTCATTTGACATGATGAATAAGATATATTTATCGCAACTCCCTTTATGATCAAATACGAACTGCGTACGAGCGATGATAGGAATAATCACCAAATTGCATGTTCTTAATCAGTTTGTTAGAAAATATTACCACAATAAACCGATAGTGAACGAACTGCACGTATATTCGCATTGACTGCTATAGACTCGTTGGTCTGAGGAGCAATCTTCGTCGACGATCTATTGTAAGAGCATGGCATTGTCTAATTTATGCTGATATTTCCGTGGTCCTTGCTCTACTTTGAGCGCATCCATATCGATTCAATCAATTATTTATTAATGCGAAGAAGCCGATCTCACAAAATAATGATCAACGAGTGTTTTTTTTTATTGCTGATTTTCCGCAATTTTTGACAAATTACAAAACCAAAATGCGATTTGAATGCGTGGCTTTTATGGAAAATTACACAAAACAATGAACACCCATATGGTCATCGATGAAGAAAGCAAAAGGATGAATAAATTCAAGTTCAAATGAAGATCATCAATATGCAAATTTGCAGACATCGTTGTTATGGTATCATTGATTTTATTTACATTCCATTTAGCTGCTGCATTAAATGTCCGATATACTAGATGTAGTACTAACTACTCGAACAAATAAATTTAAAATATGATATTTTGGGTACCCTTGTAAGCTATACCTCCTACGCAAATGTTTGAATGATATCGATCAATGGTGTCGCACCGGGATGTGCACCGGCTATACCGTGTACCGAACCGTATTCATGTCATGAATTTCATGGTATACCATTGAAAGGGCTATGGGTCTTGCAGTCAAATTCTCCTTTTCAGAAGATATTTGTACTAATGAATTAAAACAATTAGCGAAATTAAAAATTTGGTTTTTTTCAACTCGAAATCATTCGAAAATGCATTTAAACATTTGAATTTAAAAGAAATATATGTCATAATTTTTATCTACTTCACATACAAATGATTTAAATGTGATAGAATGCACACTCTGGCGATTGCAAGCCTTACATGTTTTGAGAGAATTGCATCGATACATATTGAAATGAGTTATTGCTCGCTTGACACAAAACGGCAACAGCAAAAAACAACAACGTTTTCGATAAATTGAAACAATAAACTATATTTATGTCATTTTGTTTATTTATACGTCAATAAAAATATGTACGGTACATTCAACTTTTGCGTTATTTACTGACTGAATTTCACACGGTTGCAGACGACAAAATAATAAAATCAAATAAATAAAAGGAAGAGAGACACAGAGAGAGAATGTGTATATTTGGTTTTAAAAAAATAAAAAAAATGTGCAAAGTATACAAAGTGTTACTGAGTACGGCGATTGCAACATTGTGATTGCAATGCATTTTTCATGTGTTTCTCTGTGTGTCTTAAATTCATGCCTGTTTCGCAAGTGAAAACAACTGGCGACTCTTTTTTTTACGGAATTCTTCATCAGCAAATCACTGGAAAATAATTGCTTGATTCAACTTTTAAATTTAGATTTTGAGCTCATTGAACGGTTATTTCTAGAGGGAAAAATAAATTAAGCCTGAAAATAATCGAATTGACCGCAAAACCAAAATCCGCACATTTGAAATTTCGAATGGATCAATATGTGTTCATCTATTTGATGAACAATTATTTGTTATCAACGTTGAAAATGCTTTTGTGCGAATGAAAGTTTTTTTGTTACCTGACTTTTGCTCGATGGTGGCAAATAAAATAAAACGATGGCAACGAATCAAGGAGCGAGAAAAACAAAACATATGTGTTATATTTGATAGGAGGCGCCGCCAATAAAAATCAATCTTATCGGATTGGCGGGTCATGTTTATTTTTCATCCGACACGCATACACAAAATAAACGGGGATATGGCCCTTACGACAAGATGACAAAGTACGGAACGACCCAGTCCAACTGCAACAGCATATGAACACTATTTCGGGCAGGTGCCTGTCCTTAAAATTTCCATCGCCGATAATATGCGGTCGACGACGAAATGCATAGAAAAAGGATAGAAAATAATACAGGAAAAACATACGAATCGAAATTACGGACCATGTAAAAAAGACGATGCACAAACAAAGGAAAACAAAAATTATCGTCGTCGTCGTCGTCGACAACTAGACGATAACAAAACTGATGAGAGAGAGAGAGAGAAAAAACTCATGTTTAAAAACCGATTATGGATTTTGCCTGCTTCATTTCGTTCTTTTTTCATCCTTCTTCTTTTTTTCCATTGCGTCAATATGTTAGCATATTATATTTACAGTCATCTTTCGATTTGTGGCATAAGTCTTTTGTACATTCGGTTGCGTGGCGCTTGTGATTTGAGACATTGAGTATTTGTTAAATGGGTTCCAAATGCTGAGCAATGTAAAAGGTGAAACGCATTGAACTTTAACCATATATACTCATGCACCAAATAAGCGCCAACACCAATGCTGTACGTTATTTTCTTTGAATCAGTTTTTCATCGTCATTTTGTTGTTTTCTTCTCATTTCGGATGCGTTGCTTTTTTCTTCCATACATATTATTGATAGAATTGAAATCGTCGTGCCACAGAATGATTGAACAGTACACAGGCAAAATGTATACAACCGCATATAAATAAAACCATTGAATATTTAGATATGAGAAGAACGAAAAAAAACGAATTTCATTTATAAAAAAATGTCCAGAGCAAAATAATCGATTGAGTTCATGTATATAAACTCGTTCGCTTTGATTCACATTAAATCGAAATTGTGTTGCGTTTATGGGCTACATTTGAATTTTCCTCTTTCATATTAAATGTGCTTGTGTGTGGTTGATGTCTTTGAAACTTTTTCGTCTAGGTAAATAGGCGAGACTGTTCAAGTTGTATCGTCGACATCTGTAATTTTACGTTTGAAAATGAAAAAAATAGAGAAAATAAAGTAGGAACATTTCCCAAACAAAAAAAAAAACAATTTAACGGCGTCACTTTATCTTGACGCGTCTCCACTTATTTTGTCTGCTTTTTCATTCGATTTGATTGTTTTTAATATTGTTATTCAATTTCATTTCGAAAATTTGTAAATCGTCGACAATCCTTGATAATAGCCTCTTTTTTACTTATTATTATCTATCTCTGTTTGTTTCTCTTCGGTCGTATCATCGGTTCGATTACGAGTGATTTACAGAGTAGAAACATAGAATATGCGGTGATAATTCTTACCTTCGGGCTTCAGTCTTTCCATGGCAAATAGTGAATAGGGAGGTGGAGGTGAATCTGCAAATAAAAAGAAGAGAAAACCATACAATTATTCAATTAATCACAAACATTTTCGATGGGTCATATTATTAATGAAGTTGAACCGCTAAAACGTTGAACGTTGTCATAATTTGAATAGATATTCGGCGATACATATAAAAGAGGGGAATCATGTCGTTTGTATGTTGTAAATACATCATGATTTATTTGCAAAATTCCAATCGGATTTTTATACAATAGAAATAGTGACGAAAACGACCGCACGAAAAATGGAAAGAGACACAAAAAAATGTACATTTCTTTCGAGGATGACTAATAAAAATGAATAAAAACGAACATAAAAGAAAGATATAAATACTGTAGTATTTGTTCAAATCGGTATTTAAGAGAAACGGTAGATCAGCTATAAAAAAAATTTATTACAAAATTTTTTTTTATGGCTGACATAATACACACCACACACACACACACCCATGCAATAGAGGCATGGCCAATAGAATTTAGAAATGGGCACATGCAATAAACCATCTCATCATCGAAAATTCTGACCGGAAGATGAGACCATAAAAAGAATTTTACTCGGATTAATGGAATGATGAGAGAGAAGAGACAAATTGAAAAGAGATTGAGAGAGAGAGAGGGCGAGAGACACTAACACACAAAACAATGGTTATCAAATTGTGTCGGACACATTTCACAAGTGTATATGGATGTAAGTGAGGCAGTACAAATTCCGAGACCAACGACACATCATCATCGGCAATGAAACAGGAAGCACATACGTGTTTATTATTAAATATTTAATGCGATGTTAGATTAGAATTAAATGACGAATAACCATGCGAAATTTAAATGGAATTTCAAAAACACTTTTTAAACACAAAATAACTATGGATTTCTTAGTGCTTAAAATGCCATTCTTTGCTTTATACCGTATGTTAACCGAATACATGACATATACAGCTCGACTATCATTTCATGTAATTTATATCATTCGCGTATATTCTATAATCATGGAGACAACTTCCTTTCCGCTTCTAACCATTGGCCGCTTTCAGTTGGATTTTGTATGTATTCTTATTAAATCGGCGCTAATTTCGCATAATCCAGGCGTGAGAGAGAAACATTGCAGAGGCAGCATCAGGCATTTGGAAGGAAAACGCTATCAGTGGTAAAGGCACGCAAGAGTCACATGTTGAATCAAATGATCGTTTTAATGGTTACAAAGAATGACCATCTATTAGATATATTTTACTAAGTCACAATGACGTTCTTTTTTTATCGTGCTCTTGTAGTTGCATTTCGTGCGTGTACATTTTTTTGCTTTTAAGTTCTATGCACTCAAAGCAGATAAAATAAAGATAAATTCCATCTCTCGCTCTCTCGTTCTCTAAAAGCTTGATCATTTTCATGGTACATTGCAATGTGCGACTGTCATTGGCTATGCCTAACTTTTGATAAACTGTATCAGAACCAGTTTTTGTTCCCTGTTAATATGATTTCCCTCTTTTTCATCTCGATTTTGTCCACCGAGCGCGCGCACCTCAATTTTAGATAACCAATTAAACAATTTAAAAAAAAGAGACAGAAAAGAAAGAATCGAATAATGAAAATAAACCAAACTTCGATACGAAAAAAAAAACGAAAAAAAAAATTCAGAAACAAGCACAACCGATTAAATGTAATGGAATAAGACATGCAATGCATGAGTGCAAATCATAGACAGCATCGTGGACACAACATGGCCCAACAACAGCAGCAACCGTCAGATGTGTACAATTAGCATAGTACATAAACAAAGACTACAATGAAATGTCACCTCTTTTGTGTCTGTATATATATAAGTGGATGATCAGACATACTATAAGATTGCACTAATTCATTTGATTCTTGATTTCAACCACAAAAACACATCGATGGATTGTTTGACTGTAGATCGCATTTGGAAACGATGAAAAAAAATACCGGCGAATAAAATGCACAAGAAGAACACACACCTATAAGAAAATGGTGTGCATTTTTTTAAGCATTTAAACGATGAACGAGAAGATGAAAAGACTCCAAAGCAAACAGTAGTTTTTCTTTCTTTCCCTTTTCAAAGAATCAAGCTCCAAAATCAAGCAACCGATTGACATTTTGCTGCATTTAATAGTCATCATCTGTAAATTTATTGTGTCCACACGGAAATTAAGAGTCAAACAGAATGACAGAATGTATTTAATGCATTGTACAATGTGTGTTAAACTGAATAAAATACATGCATTTTGTGTCTTCTTTCAACTTCTTCACAAAATATAACCGTGTGCGTGTGTGTGTGTGTGTTTGTAGCAAGAATGCCAATTTCCGTATCACTTACATGTATGGTTTTGTCTGTTGCTATTTGTGGTATGCATGTGCATTTGTGCATTTGTAAATTGGGTATTGAGAATGAAGCGCACATGTATAGTTCTTTCATTGAAAGAAACCGCACAAACAACAAAAATCGAATGGGATTTCTCTCTCTTTTTCTTCATTTCCAGAAATCAAATAGGAATGTAAACGCCACATGAACAGAGAGACGAAAAAAAAAAAATACAGAACAAACAAAAAACACACAGCCAAAGAGATTTTAAGAGGAGTGCATATCTGACAAAAGATAACTGAAACATTTTGCCGGTTTTCTTGGTTTTTCTTTTCGCTTCTTCTTGCCATTACATCGTCGCCTTCTTCGTTGGCTCTTCGATTTTTCTTGTTTGGGCATCGGAAACAGTAAAAGACTAAGCTAATGGATTTATAATATGGCCAAACCATGCACAATGTATATATTGTACACATACACGGACAAATGGTGCGTGCATATCGGCCCAGCATATCGATGCACATATTTGTATTTGGAGACTTAAATGGAATGATGGTGCATCATTGTGCACTGTTCTCGGTTCTGCACTGAAGAAGAGAAATGAAGAGATGAAAAGTTAAACATCTTGTAAAACTTTTCAATTCAACAGTTGCTCTTGGATGCGCCATTCTTTTTTTTTGTACTTCACATCTCTGTTGTATTCGATTGTTGCTGCTGCTGCTGTTCTTTTCCCATTTTTTTTTTCTTGTCTCTTTTCACTAGCCTATTCGTTCCCGTTTACCATGGCTTGGACGAACACTGTGTATGCGATTCTTCAGAATTCTTTGTATACTTATTAGGATTTTTCTTCGAACATTGTGTGTGTGTGTGTGTTGTTGTACCTTTTCCCTTTGTTTCAGTTTGCACAAAAAGTGACCGTGAGTAAAAAAAAAAACACGAACTGAAGGTACAAAGAAAACAAACAAAACTAACAACGTAAATTCAATGGTGGAACACACGAAAAAAAAACAACAACAATCACGAAGCCGAAGAAACTTCTTCAATTCCAAGTAGAGTTTGACCATAATGCATCCCACCAATTGGTTGACAGATAAGGATTACAGAGGATCTCTTTCTCGTCAACAACAACTGTAATTAATATTTTTTTTTATATCACGTCAACGCTGTCGTTTACTTTGTTTTTCGTCATTTTTTAAAGGTTCCACACCAAAGCTATCAATCTCTATTAAGAAGCAGTATATCTCGCAAAAAGTTAAAGTTTCCCGTTTAAAAAATCTGAGTTATACGAAAAGAGTTACAGCATTTTGTTGTTCAGTGGATCACTTTAAACCGATGAACATCTGCATACATTTTGATCGCACTGGATCTGCTTCGGGGGGAAATGAAACGTTCACTGCACTATCAATATGTATGTTCAACGTTGAACGAATCAATGATGTAGATGAGTTTAATGTTTGTTCTTTTAATGTGATTCACAGCATAAACAATCTGTGTAATTCAAGTGAGAGAAATCTATTTTCGTTAACTTTCGAATCGAGATGATTTTCATGAAAATATTGTTGCGTTTTTGGGTTGATGCGCGTTTCAAAGAGGAAAAACACACACACACACACAACGACGAAAGATTAATTTAATTGGTAAAGCCAAATGTAATCGTGAGATCATATTCGGCATATATATATTTTCAACATATATCGGAACCGTTATGAAAACTAGTGTGAAAGAATACCACTCACACATATTTTGGTTTTGTCTCTTCATAAATCAAATGTGAATCGATTATGCTTATACTCACGACGGAAATTATAAAACATACGACGTCGCTCATACACACATATGGCAACTGGATTGTATGTTTAACATACAAAATGTGTTTGGCCTACGCATTCCGTATAAATCGATGTCTTCTCCGCAAAAAAAAAAAACATTACTACGTTACCTAAAAAAATGAACAAATAGTAAACCATTGGATAGTGTTTTTTTAGCTCTGTGTACAAATTGACGGGAAAAATGGTTTTCAGCGTCGATTTTATTTAAGTTTTTGTTTGAAATTTGTAAATGGAAATAAAACGATGGCGATTGAATGAATTATAAATGCACAAAGCAATAAATACTCAAATAGTGTGTTAAACACAAGCTCGAATGTTTGTGTATGAATTATAGTCGGCCATAGTTTGATCTCGTTTAAACATCGATCTTATATATATATAATAAAAAACGTCGATTTCTTGAATCCCTTGAGATCTTCTGATCTCATCATTTTAGCATAATTATAATATCTATCTCCTATCTAATGAGAATGTCAGCATGATGTTTTGCCGTGCGAAACGCAAATTTTTTTTTCTTCATCCAAATACCGCAGAATAACGTGTGAAGAAGAGAGAATTGAAAACTATACTAGAATCAAATTTTAATCAAACACAATTTATCAAAAGACGCTGTTTATATATTTGAAGCGATCACATGGAAATGAGTAGTGGACAAGCTCACTTATATGGAATAACATTTGACTTCGTCCATTGTAAAGTAACGCTGTATTCAGATGTATGTTGTTGTGTGTGCGGGAGGGAGAGAGAACATCAAACCGATCCGGTGACAACGCGAAATGACAAGCGCATGACATTCGTGGCTACAACTGATTTCATTCGCATTATTGTGAATAAAGAATTGGTTTGGTTAT